CTTTGTATGTATGGATCACTTGGGTTGTTACCAACATCTGGTGAAAATTTCATGTCATTAGCACCTCTAGTAATATATTTACTGAGAAAAATAGTGACATGTTCAATATTTATTTTACCCGCTGTAAATAATCAGACCATGAGCTCATTTCTGTCTATTCTACATGTTGTTACCTACTGCAGGTAGACTAGTATAGCTGATGTCAGGAATGAGTCTTATATGGTTATTTGCATTTCTCTATGCATACATTTAAGAAAAAAAAGGAGAAGCTTTAATAATTTAAACAGTGACTGCAGTTGTATATTAGAGCTGTGTGTTGGCAAGAATTTGGCGGTATGATACATATGACAGAGGGGTCGTGATACGATATTGCGATGCATTACCATTTTTTGTCCAAAAATTCTATTAAAAAATTTCAATGTGTTTTATTTGCGTTTTATTTAGTTCATATTTCTTATTTCATTCTTGTTTTCTAGTGTTGGACTAAATGTGCCGTTAAATAGCTTGTTAATATATTTGTGGCAGTTTTTAGGTTTTAATATTATTTTATTATAAATATGGTCACCCACCACACTAACAGTCTATTTGTTGTCCTAAAGTTCAGTAAACTGATGACATGAAGCTGCTGCACACAGGCTGTGCTGTCAGCTGTCAGGGGGCAGCTGAGTGAAACCAACCCCTCCCTACAAGTGAACCAGAGGGAGAAAAAAGGCAAATATGCTGAGTGGTTAGTGCTTCGTTTGAGCGGGTTTGTGCCGTTGAAACGGCTGTTTGTGTTGCTATAGTTTATGAGATAGTGCACGTTATAATTTCGGACGATCTCGTGACTTGGCCTGAATTGTTTACGTCTGTGACAACGGGCCAAGTCACGTGATCGTCCGATCAACCTGCTCAAACAAAGCGCTACAAAATTCGACTAATTTGGTTCATTTTTGGTTCATTTTGAAGCGAGCTGGTGGGATGGTGACCCCTGAATGACCCATACAAATAATCTTTAATATATAAAAAACCATAGCAGCACAAACAACAATTTCAAGTGCACAAACGAAGTACTAACCACTTTTTTTCCCCCCTGTGGTTCATTTTTTGGGAGGGGTTGATTTCACTCAGCTCATTTGGTCACTTCAGTACCGTCCCTCAGGGACCCCCTGAGCTCAGGGGGCTAGATAAATGCCTGCCTTCTGTAACATGACAGCTGACTACAGTCAGGAGAAAGAGCTTCCTGAACGAGACTCTTCAATTAGACTTAAATACAGACATTCAGGCTGATAGGGACTGTTGGTGACCTTACCTCAGCTTAGAAGGCAGCGAGTGTCACTTTAATCTGCTCACATTCAGCCATGCATGATGCTAATGTTTACTCACAATGCTAATGTTTACGCACGATGCTAATGTTTCCTCACGATACTTATGTTTCCTCACGATGCTAATGTTTCCTCACGATGCTAATGTTTACTCACAATGCTAATGTTTACTAACAATTCTGATGTTTCCTCACGATACTTATGTTTCCTCACGATGCTAATGTTTCCTCACGATGCTAATGTTTACTCACAATGCTAATGTTTACTAACAATTCTGATGTTTACTCACAATGCTGATGTTTACTCACGATGCTAATGTTTACT